ACTTAAAAATGTGGATACACACTCAACTTCAGCCAAAAAAAAAAAAAAAAAAAAGTCGAAACTGGGTCACTTCAGGCTGCATTGTGAACGCACCTTCAGAGTAAAGGTAAAATCATCTGATGGCTTCTTAAACAATAAATTTAAACATGAACATTGTCGTAGGAAGTAAAATGTCAATTTTATGCCATGAGGTTTTAAAAGGGAATCCTTAATTTTTGTCATTAGATGAAATATCATGACAACTGACTAACTGAAATTAACTTGTCAAATAAACAATTCCTTTCTAAAATTGTCATAAAAGAATAGTGAATACACTTTGACTTAATTTCCTAAATCTGTAGAGAAGTAATATATTCTTATTTTATTGTCAAAAGTAGTGTACTGAAGGTGGCGCTGTGCATGACCTAAAAATTGAATATTATCAAACATCAAGGGCCTCATGCATAAGAGTGCTCAGTTTTCACACTAAAACTTGGCGTACGGAAAAATTTTGAAAAGTGGCGCACAAAAAAAATGGGATGCATAAAGCCGTGTTCACGCACGTGACTGCGCACCTTTCTTTATAAACCCTAATTTGCGGGAAACAGCGCAGCTGTTGCTCCGCCCTGTTGCCACACTTAAATACATATGTAAATTAGTATAAATACCCGTAAGTCTGCCACCACATGAAGCAGTAACCATGGCAACGTCCTTGTTCGTAACAGTATGAGTATTTATAATAATTCCATATTTTATGTAAAATGTGCTTTCAGGGCACAAGGTCACCTCACAAAAACAAAAATAATACTTTTTAAAATACTGTTCCCCGTGTTAAAAGGGGGGAACGGTATCTTATGGGTGAATTATGGGTACGTATAGGCCGGGTATTTTCAAGCAGTTCGTTTTTTTCGTTTGAAATGGAAAATGAAAAAACGGACATAGACTCGTTTTGTCGTTTTCCGTTTAGAAAATCAAAATCGGAAATCGGATTTTTTTGCTCGTTATCCGATTTCCCATTTAGTGCCCAAAACAAAAATGGAAAAAACGGATAAAGAGCTGTCAATTTCAATTTCCATTATTTCATTTTTGACAAGTAGTCTGACCCGGAAGTCCTTTCTGTCCGGCAGTTTGTTTTTGTAAACTCGTCCAAATCGGCATGTAATTAATTTGATCATGACACCTTCACACAGAAACCCTT